TATATATATATATATATATATATATATATATATATATATATATATATTGCTATCAGTTTGTCAATCCTTTCACATCCATCTGTTCGTGTGTGTGTGTTTGTTTTTACTGACAGGCAAAAACAAATCATGATCAGATTTCAAATGACAGACAAGCATCAGCTCAAATGACAGCTATCCCTTATGCTACGAACAGCAAGAGTTACATTCATATAGGTAACTTATATTCTGCAATAATGTTGTGTATTCCAAAGAGCGGTGTTAACAGTGAAAACAGTAAACTTCACATGTCATGCAGTAGACCTTTTAACGCTCGTTGCAACTCGTCCATTTTCCAGGTGTGGATACAGCTGAGGTGAAAGTTGGAGACAACCTGAAAATTAACCTCAACCTTAATAAGCAGCCAGGTCAACCAAAGGACATCACGTACCTGGTCAGCGATGTTTGCTTTTCTCCTCTGAACTGTACAAGGAGACACACAAATGTATTTGATGAGAACTAATGAGAAGTTCTCTGTCCTTAGATCACAAGCAGAGGCCAGCTGGTGAAGTTTAAGCGTCACAAAACAGAAGGCCAAACGCTTATTTCCCTCATACTTCCTGTCACCAAAGAGATGTTACCATCATTCCGCATCATAGCCTACTACCATCCAACGGATAATGAAGTGGTGTCAGACTCAGTTTGGGTGGATGTAAAAGACTCCTGCATGGGATCGGTGAGACACACAACATTAAACGAAACAACATTAATATCAAACAGGTAGTTGTTAGTCATATCATGCAGATTTAAAGTTTATTTGTTGACCTTTTTATTTACATGCAGTTGACTTTGGAATCAGCAAGAGCAGTTCCCTCCTATGAGCCTCGCAAGATGTTTAGTCTGAGAGTCACAGGAGATCCTGGTGCCACAGTGGGACTCGTCGCAGTGGACAAAGGAGTCTATGTTTTAAATAATAAGCATCGTCTCACCCAGAAAAAGGTAATTTATTTAACTGGCTAGGAACATTTAGAAAGATTAAGAATGCTAACAGTGTTACATCTTGTGACCCTAAGCCTGGTCTGTTTCCTTGCAGGTGTGGGACATCGTGGAAAAGTACGACATCGGCTGCACACCTGGTGGAGGAAGCAACAGTATGAACGTGTTCTTTGATGCTGGGCTGATGTTTGAGTCCAGTACTGCTTCAGGAACTCCCTACAGACAAGGTCATTGTACTGTTTAAAAAAATAAAATTAAGAAAAATACCCTCCGCACACACACACACACACACACACACACACACACACACAC